ACCTGAGGGTTACTGGAGGGGTGTTGGATGGAGGGATCGACTAAATGAACAAGGGACATTAAGGAGGATGTTAGGATGAGCACGGATGTTGTATGTAAGTGATGAATCACTAATTACTATTCCCGAAGACAAATTAGTTAATACAATTTAATGTTATTAAATTGTTCATAATATTTCTCTTTTTTTCCTTTGTCTGTAGTATTTGTACAAGCCACTCTTACAGGGGCGCCTGGGTGGCTCAGTCGGTTAAGTGTCCGACTTCGGCTCAGGTCATGATCTCGCGGTCCGTGAGTTCAGTCCGTCGGGCTCTGTGCTGACAGCTCAGAGCCTGGAGCCTGTTTCAGATTCTGTGTCTCCCTCTTTCATCTGACCCTCCCCACCATGCTCTCTCTCTGTCTCAAAAATAAATAAACGTTAAAAAAAGTTAAAAAAAAAAAAAAAAACAAGCCACTCTTACATTCCCAATATTGATATTTTGTATTTTCTTTTTTCTCTTTTAAAAAAAAATTTTTAATGTTTATTTTTGTGTGTATGTGTGTGAGAAAGAGAGAGACAGAGCATGAGCAGGGGAGGGGCAGCTAGAGAGGAGACACAGAAGGCAAAGCAGGCAAAGCTCACAAAGAGCCCAACATGGGGCTCGAGCCCAAGAACCATGAGATCATGACCTGAGACAAAGTCAAACACTTAATCAACTGAGCTATCCAGGCACCCCTCTCTTTTCTTAATCAGCCCAATTAAAATTTTATTAGCATTACTGATCTTTTTAGAGAATCAGATTTTGATTTTATTAACAGTTTCTAGTATTTATCAATTTTTTGTTTTATTGGGTTCTGATCCTGTTATTATTTTCTTTGTTCTTATTCTGAATTTAATTTACCCTTTCTAGTTTTTGTTTTTTGATGTGGAATCTTGGATCATTCATTTCATATGTTTTTCTTCTAATATAAATATTTAAATCTAGAAATTTACTGTCAAACACTATCTTAGCTGCATTCCACAAATTTTAACATGTTGCATTTTCACCTTCATCAAATTGAAAGTATTTTCTAACTTCCTTGTGATGTATTATTTGATCCTTGCATCGTGTCGAAGTATATTTTTTAATTTCCAAATATTTCAGATTCTCTAGATACACTTTTATCGTTAGTTTTGAAGTTAATTGTGTTGTAATGAGGGAACAAATTCTTGAAGAGGTACATCACAAGCCACATTGAAGGAAACATCTCAATCATGTGCTAGCCCAACTAGCCAGAACTTTATTACTGGGAAGGAGCTACAGGTGGGCATGGGAGAGGGTGAACAGGCGGAGGATTGAGAAAGCAAAGAAAGCCTGGCCAGAACAGTATAGTCAGGGAGTTAAACTCTCTATTTCCATGTCTAGGACAGAAATCATGATCTTAAGGGCAAAGTTGAAGTTTGAATGTAGCTTGTCCAGACCCCAGTCCCACTCCTACTTGACTTCACCCTTCAAACACTTGTGCAAGGTAGACTTGACTTAAAGGTGAGGAAGAGGAAGAGTGATTAAAATTACTTAGTAATTTTTAAATAAAAAAAGTTATTCGATCTGTTGCAGACTCTCATAGATCCCCTACATGAATATCTGATTCCTTTTTAAAAAAAATTTTTTTTTAATCTGGAAGAGACCATTAAGAAAAGAAGTATTGTATCCTAGATTTTTAAAATAACAAAATGATGGGAAATTATTTATGGAAATAATTTTAAGGGCACAGGCCTCTTTATATAAAATATACTACATTTTAAATTTGTAAGGGGTTGAAATTAAAGTTTAGATAGCTAGTTTTTTTTAATCCAAAATCTGTTTATTGGGATAGTTCCCCACTCATGTTGACTCAGGGTGCATTTAGTGCTGCTTCAATCTGAAGGAGCATCCTTCTGGGAGCCTTGCTTTTCCTCCTGTCGGCTGGCACAGGACGGTGGAGCAGTCCACACATAGCACCACCGTCTGCATGTGGCTGAACACGGTGGTGATTTTGTAGCACCCTGGGCACTTCACGTCCATGAAGTAGGAGTTGGGGCTCTGCACCAGGCGCTTCTTCTTGTGCTTTCTTCTCTTCCGGGGACGGGTGCAGGAGGTCCTTCGCCAGGGGCATGTTCTCGTGGGCAAGTCGTCACCGCCGGAAAGGCTAAAATAGCTAATATTTTAATCAAGATTTGTATCTCTTGATGATGCACATTGAGAAAAAAAAAAATCTTCATTTTAAGAAGCCATAATTATTTGTTGCATTAATGGGACACAGGTTTAGAGTTCCTTTGTCACCAAAATCTTCCATGGTTCCTGAGTTCCCACAGGAGCCAAGATCCAGTTATCACGTAATTCTGTGCTATAAAGTCTAGTTTAATACCCATCTTCTCCTCAAGTGGATCTTTCAGTCTCTACAGATTGACTTATTCACGCCCCCTAGGAAAACACCAATATACAGGTACAAGGATTTCCCCCGCAGGCTCTGCATTTTTCTTTTACTGACTGACTTACCTTCCTGAATGTGGATTAGTCAGGGTTCTCGAGAGAAACAGAACCAACAGCATATGCATATATGCACATACCTGCTTGATAGGTGGCATTAGTAAGACTCCCTACCGGACAAGTCTGGGAAGAGCATCTGCCACACCTGGGGCACCAGGTGTTTATCCTCTCAGGAATCTCCGATTGGCTCTTGGCTCTTTTAGAACTCTGAGCTCCCGGGATGGGGCTCTCTCTCTGGGAAGAGTGGTATGGCCATAGCGCCGCAGGCCTCTCTCTGCCATTCTCCCAGCCACCCCTGACACTCAGCAAATCCCAGCACATCCTGGCCCCGCCCCTCCATCAGGATCCACACTTCCTCCTCCCACCTATCAAAGAAAGAAAGAAAGAAAGAATGAAAGAAAGAAAGAAAGAGAAAAAATATATCTCTCTGTCCCTCAGTCCCTCTCCCACACTCACTCTCTCGCTGTCCAAATCATGCAGGACCTTATAGCAATGTTATGGAGCTCAACATTTCTTGTAACAGTAATGGAAAACTGTTCAAGGAGAGCAAGGTAATCTCTGTCAATCTAAAGAGAGATTTTTTTTTTTTAAGGAATTAGCTTTCATGATTGTGGTGACTGGCAAGCTCAAAATCTGCCCGGTAGGCCACCAAGCTGGGGACTCAGGGAAGAGTTGGCAGTTCAATTTCAAAGGCAGTCTGCAGGCAGAATTCTCTCTTCTTTGGGGGATGTTAGCCTTTTTCTATTAAAGCCTTTAACTAACTGGATGAGGGCCACCCATGTTTTGGAGACTACTGCTTTACTCATCTACCAAATATGTTCACACAAAACCTCTAGAATAATGTACGACCTAAAATCTGGGCACTGTGGACCAACCAAGGTGACACATAAAGTTAATCTTACAAATGGCTTCTCCATCTCCTGTCACAGTGCTGCATGTCCTTCCTTGTCTAAACGTAACTTGGTTCTGTAATCCTATAAATCCATTCTGATCTCTTACCTGAATTCATCTAATTGTTTTGTACTACTGCTTTAGGATCTTATAATGTGAAAAATGATATTGAAAGCCTTAGAAAATGTATTAGCTCACATTTTTACTTATGTTACCTCTGGGTTTGTGGAATATCAATCTCCTTGAAAACAGAGACTGTGTTGCAATTCTCCAGCACCTACCACTATGTCTGGGAAATGGTATTAAATCAAACAGTATTGAATAACTGCAATCTTTCACTCAAAAAAATTTATTGAGCTCTTGTGTGCATAAGAATATAAGTTTCACAAGCTCATATGTTTATATATATTCTATTCTTTGATGTAGCCCCAATACCTAGAAGAAAGCTTGGCTCACATCACCTTAACAACTATTTGGTAAATAAATTAGAAATAGTCACTGGTGCATAATGAGGGAATTAAATAGAATATAAGTTTCATGAAAGGGGAGATCTTATGCTTCTTGTATATACTCCAAGCACCTGACACAACTCTGGGCATTTATTAATTGCTCATTAAATGAATTGCATTGACCCTAGCAAAAATTCAATAGATTCTCTGCATTACTGGTTAGCAACTTATGGATAAATGCTTTATTTGCTAAATAAGAAAATCCACAATCTAGGAATGATGTTGTCAGATTATACTAAATAAAATGAAAATTATGACTGTTTTGTTTTTAGTTTAATAAAGCATATTATGTCTTATTGGCAGCTGTTACTTGAATCTATTATTGAATCACCTCAAAACTAAAATATTGCATATTTTTAAAGTACAACTGAATATACTCTATATATTTTAGCAAGAAATGTTAAGTTTTAAACATCTTTCAGATATCTTTGTAACCCTACAAAAAATGCATTTAACATTCACATTTTTAAACAGCCAATCTACACTAATAAAATAAAAGTGAAAATTAAAATGATCAATTTTATACTTCTATAATCTGTATTCCAAGAACTAAAATTGAGCATGCTTGTTTTTCTCCTGAAGTGTTTAACTTTCAATATTTTAAACAAATGTATTACCGTGGCTATTTGATGAAAGTTCTTAGATTACTCAATTCATTTACACAGCTTTTTGGCAATAGTATAACCATGAACTCCTGCTAATAGATACTGCTTCAATGATAAAATGAAATGTATATTTTATTTAAGGACCAATGTTTCATTAATTCCATATAAGAAAACTAAGAACACTCAACTATAATGTTTTTAGGTTTCAAATTTTACTTATTTTCATAATGAGATCAACACAGAAGTTGGGGCTGGGATTAGGGAAAGAAGATCATTTTGTATTTACATGACTAGAATGCCATGTATATGACCTCTCATGCAGAGATATGATTACATAAGACACTTTCAAACCCATCAAGTCCATCCACTCCTGTAATGCAAAACCAGGTTTCTTACTACGTGAAATGACATAGGAAAGGACATCTTAGTAGAAGACTTTCTGCAATTATCCCATTTCTCTTGTAAAGTTAGTACCTAATATAATGAAAGTATTTACTTTTCCATCCATAGGACCTAATTGGTGACCTGAAGGAGAAACTTTCAGATCACTTCAAAGATGTCATGGTTGGCCTCATGTACCCGCCACCTTCTTATGATGCTCACGAACTCTGGCATGCCATGAAGGTACTATTCGGATACAAAAATATACCTGTAACAAGTGCAGGGCAATATTTAAGTAGAGAGGGAACTGCCCTGTGATGTTCCTGTATGTGATCAGGGATGGGGGAAAGAATATCTGAACAAAAACAAACCAGTGAGGGGCGCCTGGGTGGCTTAGTTAAGTGGCTGGACTTCGGCTCAGGTCATGATCTCTCAGTTCGCGAGTTTGAGTCCCGCAACCGGCACTGTGCGGACGGCTCAGAGCCTGGAACCTGCTTCGGATTCTGTGTCTCCCTCTCTCCCTGTGTGTCTGTCCCTCCCCAGCTTGCACTGTGTCTGTGTCTCTCAAAAATAAATATACGTTAAAAAAATAAGTAAGTAAGTAAGTAAATAAATAAATAAATAAATAAAACAGTGACGATGCTGTGCTCAGGTGAAGTGACCCTGTTAGGAAGAGAGGGATTCTACAGCCCAGGAGCTTGGATCAGCCTATTCTTTTGCTGCACAAACTCAGATTCACTGACCCAGCTCTATGTTGAACAACCAAAAAAACCCAAAAAAAACCAAAATAAGCCTCCAGGGCTGTCCATATTTATCACTCCCTAGTACACATTCATATATTAAGCAAAAATGTTATAAAACATGTGAACCTCTTCAAATTATTTGTAAAAATTGGACTCACTAAGTAAAAGTGGGATACTGAGTCAGAGACAAAATATAGATAATATCTTTGTTTATTTTTGTAACCTCAAGTTACTCCTTTCCAAAAACTATTGCTCAAAAGTATAAAATGTTTTGGGGCACCTGGGTGGCTCAGTCAGTTGAGCTTCTGACTTGGCCCAGGTCATGATCCCACACTTGGTGGGTTCAAGCCCCACACGGGGCCCTGTGCTGACCAGCTCAGAGCCTGGTGCCTGCTTCAGATTCTGTCTCCCTCTCTCTGCCTCTCCCCCACTCCGTCTCTCTGTCTCCCAAAAATAAATAAATATTAAAATTTTTTTTAATTTAAAGTATAAAACTTTTACTTCTGAAGAATTATAATAATTCTTTACAGAAAAGTCATTTCCGAGAAATAAATTGACTACAGATTTGATAGAGACTGTGTTGGCTAGGGATTGGGTACAAAAGGCTTTTTAACATCTTCCAACTGCTGATATTAAACACCTGCAGAACCATTGCAGTCATTCCAATATGATTCCTGCCAATGACCAGATTATGCAATCTGCAAACAATGTGTGACAGGAGACAGGAAAGGGGAAAAATTAAGGGAACTTGGATTTTGGCCATCATATTTGCAGATGAGAATAGACATTGTATAAAATTCATATGAATTTCAACTAATCGCTTTTTTGAAGTTGCATATGGCAATTCCTACCTCTTGCAAAATGATGTGACCACAACTATAAGAAGGAAGTCATATGTTACTGTTTAGATAAACTGTTACATTTTATCAATATTACATGGAATGGTAAGGATTTCTAACATTTTCTGGAATATGTGTTGTTTTTATAACAACAGAGAAAAATCAGAGAAAAAATCTGTCCATATAGCTGTAAGAGACCATAAAAAGCACCCAGCCTAATGTTTAGACCAATAGTACAAAATTTCACATTTAGGGAGAGGCAGGGAGTGGTCCCTGAAGCATCTTTAGGAAACTAGGAGACCCAGGTTCTAATTTCAGCTCTCCAAAGAATGATATTCTAGCAGCAAAAATATCAGTGCCATGAGCCTTGTTCAAACATCTTTTTCCACATTATTTAGAAAGTCCCATGTTGTTTTATTCTAAATGAAGGAATAGGATTTCAGATAATAATATCTCCTCAGGGTCAAGCAGCTAGTAAATAGCAGAGCCAGAACTGAATAGGACCTATCTTTATCCCAAACATCCTTTCTTTCCTCTCTGCCATCTCTCAGAATATCAGGAATGTTATAAATCTTTATTATACATAAGATGCACTATTATTCCCAATACAAATGCCTTTATATTTCTCTCTTTCTCTGTATGACAGGGAGCAGGCACTGAAGAGAATTGCCTCATTGATATTTTAGCTTCAAGAACAAATGGAGAAATTTTCCAGATGCGAGAAGCCTACTATTTGCGTAAGGAAATATATTTTACACACACGTAAACTTCATACTTTTCAAATAACACACAAAATATTTCAGTTTATGTGTTTTAAAGTTTTTTCTAAGACACTCTTAAGTTTGATATATCACTTACTCAAGACCAATCAACTCACTGAGTAAAACTGATGATTATATTACCAAAAATGAAACAATTCTCTGAACAATCAAGTTAAGCAAAGTTTCCAGGAAAAGAATTACAAGTTTCTATGAGGTGAGTGTTTACATTAATGCAGGTAAATGCCAGCACTGTGGTTCAGGAGCATTTTATCGCTTACCTTGAAGAGACCAGGTATATAGACGAAATAAGGCTAAGTTCAATGAGCACTTAGCAAATTCTACAAATATGGGTAACTAGTTCACTTTGCATAAATCTCATCATCACTGTGATCTATCACAAAATCAAATTTCTACACATTTTAAGAGCAGATAAGCTAATTATTTTTTTAAAAAGATCTAATGCTTTAAATTGCATTGCTTCATGTATTGCCTCACATTGAATATCAAGAAAATATTCTAGACAGTCAGCTCTGTTGCATTTGAACAAAAACAAGGGGTATTTCCCAGTGGGGATGAAGAACCTTCACTTAAAATACTAAAATGAGGGGCATTTGCGTAGCTCAGTTGGTTAAGCGTCCAATTCTTTTTAATTTTTTAATGTTTATGGCAATGAGAAAGAACGAAATATGGCCCTTTGTAGCAACGTGGATGGAACTGGAGAGTGTGATGCTAAGTGAAATAAGCCATACAGAGAAAGACAGATACCATATGTTTTCACTCTTATGTGGATCCTGAGAAACTTAACAGAAACCCATGGGGGAGGGGAAGGAAAAA